ATCCCAATACATAAAAATAAAATTTTGGGATGTTACATTGTTAGTTCATATATGCACATGATGCATAATGTCACACGTTCACAAACTCATAGACTCATCACTTCACTTGTCATGGAATTTCATGTCTTATCACATTTCACATTCTCATTCACATCATGTCTCATGTCATTTATTCATATTTCACATGGTCATACTCATAATTGTTCCTTCGCACAGGAACCCACATAACACTCTAATTTATATCAAAACATATCTAATTTTGAAATCAAATACATATTTACACTCTACATCACACAAGGAACGCAATAGAGCATTTATAAAGAAAAACAAAAAAAAATCATATTTCTCATAAGGTTTTCTCAGGAACCCACGGAGCACTATAATTCATATCAAAACATATTTATTTTCAAAATTAATTATATATTCACACATTACATAATTCAACATGGAATACAACATGGAATACATCAGGCAAGGGATTGGGGGTCAATCTAGCTACCCACCAATTATTCCCACACCCCGAGCGAGGTTTCTCACTCCCCTTTACCCGGATAAGCAGAAGATGACTCTAAAACTGGATCTTGCTGATCTCTTCCTCTGGGCTCCCCTTGCTCTTCAGAGAGTGTAGAAGAAAAAGAAGTCAAAAATGAAAAGTGTGCTTCTGGGAGTGCCAGAATGTGCTATTTATAAACTTTAGAAATGACCATAACGACCTGTTTCAAATCCGAAATGGCCCATTCTAGACTCATTCACCATATTCAAAATTAACATCCAGAATGGCCCGTTATGGGATTGCATTCTTAACCACAACAACCATATTTGGAACTACTACTAGAATTTCTTTTATTACATGCGACTTTTCCTGCGAATTTTTCACAAAAATTCGCAGGAAACGTTGTTCTTGCAAATTTTTCTGCAAAATTTTATCTGTAAGTAATACCTTCATGGATAATATATTTTTGCGAATTTTAAAATTCGTAAGAAATTTTCCTGCAAAATTTCTTGCGAAAAATTTTCGCAAGAAATTTTGCAGGAATATTTTTTACGAAAAAAAATTAAAAAAATTACTATAAATTCTATTAATAATTTTTCAACTTTCAAATGCTCACAATGAATTCATCTAAAGCATTTGTTTCCATGCCTCCAACATGTGATACATAATCTTTTAAATTCTAAGATTGTAGATTATAAACCTAACACTCAACCATACAAATCAACTTGTAAGGTAAGTGTTGCCCCAACTTATATTCTCTTTAATTGTTTTATTTTCAATCGATGTGAGACTTAAAGTTTTTTTAAAATATTAAACTTATAAATTTAAATATTTTTTTTTTTAATTTTGCTTGTGGATTAAAATTTGCAGGAAAATCCGCAGGAAAAGTTACCTGCAAAATTTTTCTACCATTTAGTAAACATTACTTGCGAATTTATTTTTGCAAAAAAATCTGCAAGAAACAAAATAAAATTCTCACAATATTTTCTGCAAATTTATACCATGGAAAAAAATTTCTCTGATTATTAAAATTGTAGCAAAATTTGTAAAAAATATCTGAAAATTGTTTTTTGCAAATAAATTCGCAAAAAATTTTTGCGAATATTTTTTTTTGCAGAAAAATTCGCAAAAAATTTCTGCAAATATTTTTTTTGTAAGAAAATTCGCAAAAAATTTCTGCGAATATTTTTTTGTAGGAAAATTCGCAAGAAAATGACACTTTTCTAGTAGTGAACAACCCGTTCCCAACTTTGGAACGGCCCGTTCCCAACTAAGGTTATAGGGCATTTTAGTAGTTTGGAATCGCCCGTTCTGGGCTACTAAAATTCAAAATATTAAAAAATAATTTTCATAAATATTTATTATTAAAAATCTCTAAAATATTCTATAAAACCCATTTAATTAATTAAAATAATTATAAGAAAATAATCTCCATAAATATAAAAATAAATAATAATTAACCATTGTATTAGTAAAAAATTTGGGATGTTACAATGTGCTTTGTATTTAATTATTTGTATTTATTGGATATTTATTCTCACTCTTTTTGTTTTTTTTTTTCTAAAAAAATAATATTAATTAATATATAGATATATGGATTCACCTCATGTTGGATCTTTCACCGTTTTGTTACACGCTATTTTTCTTTACATGCAATGGGTGGTTGATACACAAAATAATACAATCACCTTCTATAGACAAGGATCTTCAACGATAATGCTACTAAATAAGGAATCACCAATCCTCTTAGATAATAGCTATTACTTTTACTCTACCACCAATAAATCATATTAACCCATTATATAATATATAATAACTATTATTGTACTAATATTGTAGGATAAATAAGAGAGGGTTTGTAAAATAATATATTAATAAACCTCTCTATTTGTAAATGGTTTGTAAAATGTTGGTAAATATATTGTATAATTATATATAACATTAATAACTAAACTTTTCTTTTTATGATCTATAAAAACTTTGGAGGTTTTATTGAATGAGTAATAATTTAATAATATTGTTAATTAATATCATTATTATTATTACTAATATCACTAATACTATTTGATTCATTTTAATAAATAGATATTATAAATTAATGAATGTTACATTTAATGCCAAAATTTAAATAAAATTTATTATTAAAATAATATAATAACATTTAAGTATAAATATAAAATAATATAAAAATATGAAATTAAAGTGTTCCAATTCAATTTAACATAATCCAATATTTAAGAATACTACCAATACTTAGCAGGTTGCACCATTACTTATATCTTATATATACAAACGAGTCTATAAAATTAAGAATATATAGTTAAACACTAGACACACACAAATCAATAAAATCATAATATATTATAAAATAATATTAATATAATAATTTTAATTGATTCGATTCTCCAATCACCATATTTATAAACTTTAAATTTGTGATATTAACTTATTAAGGTCAAATTTATTTGATTTGGGTCGTTTTTATCCAATAAAAAAATCAAACCAACACAATTAATTTAATTCAAATAATCAGTTTTATTTAATTATCTAAATTGACAAACACTATAATTACTACCATTATACACACACTCATTTAATATACTTAACTATTTTCCTGGCTGAAACATTTAATATTGAATATCACATTTAATATCATCATTTATTTTCAATGAAAAATTAATTGTAAATGTAATAAAAGTAGAACATTAAATGTTGAATAACACATTTAATACAATCATTTATTATTATTAAAAAATCAATTATCCATAGTATAGTGGAGTGTGATTACACATGATCAAAACCTTTTCCAGTTATATAAATTTCTTTGCTACGAATGGATGATCAAAACTCGATATAGTGAAAACTCAATTGCATAACTATTGAAGATAAGATGGGAGAGAAGAAAGTTTTGGGTGTTGTGATGTTTGTTATGGCTTATTGTTTGGCTGTAACAACATTCACAGCATCACAAGTTCCAGCAACATGCAATGGCTTTGAACCATTACTTTTTCAATGTGTGGCTTATTTGGTTCTCCCAGACCCCGGTACTCCTTCTGCTCATTGTTGTGATGGAGCAAGAGTGGCGTTTCAAAGAGCCAACAATCCTCAAGCTATCCAAAACTTTTGTAGTTGTCTTGTGGATGCTGGACCATATTTGAACTTTCAGCCTTCGAGTTTGGTTCAACTTCCAGTAGCATGCAAGATTAAACCTTCCTTTTCTATGGATAAATGTATATATGGTTAGACTATTTACTAGCTAGCTAGTCATTCAATCAGTGAAAACATAAATTCACGGTTGTATTGATAAATAAATAAGATATTAATTTTGTTACTAGCAATTCACTATTCTCTTACTTTTGATTATTATTTAAGATCGTAACATCCTAAATTGTTTTTATATAAAATAAAATAAATTACTTTTAATAAAATTATATCATAGACTTAGTTAATTAGTCAATTAAATTTACAATGTAAGTAATGTTTAATTCATGAATTAATCGAGACAAAACGATAGATCAACTCAAGAACATACAAAAATGTATCCACAATTAGGCATGGCAATAGGGGAGTCGGGTACAAGTTTCATGATACCCATCCTCGTCCTTGCGGTTGAAACTCATCCCCATCCCTGTCTTTATATATCCGTCGAGTATGTAATTTTCGTCCCATACCCGTCCCCGTTAGATATCGGGTATACTCATACCTGTCAAAAATTAATTTATTTTTTGTAAAAAAAATACACACAATATTTTTAGTTTATCTTTTCATTATATTACAATTATAATTGAGTTGTTGTTTATCTATCTCGTATTTTAATCAAAAGACTTCTTAATAATTAAACAACCACAAATGTTTCACACTATAATACACAATTACATATAGTTAAATATTAAAATTCTTTAAAACAATTAAATCGAGGATAGGTATTAAACCGGGGATGGGAATAGGGACGGGTATTAAATCGGGGATGGGGACGAGGATGGGGCAGGTAAGTATATACCTGTCCCCGATTTAATATTTTGAATTTTATCCGTACTTGTACTCGTACTCGGTCAAATCGGGTATTCCCCTGTCAAAATTGGGCCAGATTCGACAAGTATTACCCATGGGTACATGTTTATTTGTCATCCCTAGGAGACTTAGGGGTCACCTCACTACCCATACTTGTCATACGTGCCAATAAATGATAAATTTTCACTCACTTCTAGCTCATTCTCTGAGGCATTAGTAGCTAATATGCTGATAGACTATGGCCAAGGCCAAGGAATCCAAGAGGTGATATATTGAAGGAACCAAGAGGAATGAGATGATAGACCATGGGCCAAGGCCCAATCTCTAGAGCTATGGCCACCTTGAAGATCAGTGGACACCTTGAAGACTAGTGGGTTTTCCAAGCCCAAGGTACTCTTCAATTTGGACCACTCTATCATGAAAAGAAGGCATAGTTCTAGTTGTAAATATCTTGTACATAGTTCTCTTGTATAGGCTTATTTTTGCCTTTGTATTTGTGAGACACTTTAGTTTCTTTTATTAGTCATTGTATATTGATTTTAGGGCATGGGTTACTTGGAGAGTTTGACTCCATTTAACCTCCTTTGTTGATACACTCATTTTCTATTTTTTCAGTAGGAAAAGAGGGGTGACATTTAGCAATGCTTGAGGGTGTGACTAGTAATTGGGCCAGAATTGGGCCTAGGCAAAATTTTACATATTGGACTCATTTTGCTCCTAATTTTTCATAGATTTGATTTAGCTAGGTCTCATCATCATTGGATGAACCTAACTAAACCAAATCAAACATTTTTGAAATTAATTCAAGGAGCCAAAAGAGACCAAATCCGACCTTGCCTAGTCTCCTTTCTTTGACCGAATTGCTTCTCTAACCTTGAAGGAGATGAGAAGCTTGTGCTACAAGCTTCTCCTTAGCTTGCTTCCCAAGCAAGCTAAGTGAGAAGCTTGCTCCACAAGTTTCTAAACTCACCTAGAAGGTCAACTAACCTTACCATGGTTCCTAGTGAACCATGGTTAAGGTTAGCTTGCTCCTTAAGCTACCTACCTCTACATATTTGTAATTTCTACTCTTGAAATCACTTTTGACATTTATGAGACTTAGAATTCAGAAATTCTCTCTCATTTCAAGAGTCCAATTTCGTGGAGAATCTCCTTCTCCTAGAAGCTTCACAAAGGAACTTCTCCCTTTGTGCTTGGCTCCTCAAGTTTCTCTCCTTCAAGAGAAACTGAACCACTTTGGGAAGCATCTTCAAGCTTTTGGAGCTTGAACTCATCCAAATCTTCCTCTAGCGTGAAGAACCTCAAGAGAAGAAGGGATTTAGCATGGTTCAACTTGAAGAAACATTAATCTTCTCCAAGTAGTTCCATCATATGCACTCTCTCTAGTGGCTTCATCTGGTTCTCCTATTTGTTGTTACTCATTATCTATGTCGTATCCTCTAGTGCTTCTCCAATTGTTATCACACCTTTCTAAACTATGACAACTTGTACTTCCTGATTAGTTTCTCAAATAACGATTTCCAAGGCAACAAGCACAATCTTCATTATTTTGAGACTATTCATGCACTGCTTGAGGTAATTCCCTAGGTTTTTCCTTTTATTGACACATGTATATGACCTACCCGTTTTTTTTTCTTCTTATTATTAAAAGACCTCTAAGTTGGACTCAAAAGTCCAAAACCAAGACTCTTCTCTAATCCATCGCCTATTCTTTCTAAAATGATCATTTTATTTATATCACTAACCTAATCAATTAAATTAATTAAGTTAAAAATATAATTCTTTTATTAAAATACTTATTTTATTTAATAAAAAAATTATTTACATTATAAACTTAATTAATTAATTAAGTTTGTAATATAATTTTTTATTAAAGATAATTTATTTTATTTTATTTTTGAAGCAAATCAAGGCAAAAATATACAAAACTTTCAAATAGCCCCAAAGTCATAATATCAGAGTAAGATGCAACACCAACTAAATCATTAAGTTTCTCCGTCATCATACTCATCCTTTTATACTTATTGTACTCTTGCAAATGCCAATCGTTCTAAACACACACAACCACAAAAGTGAGAATACATCTCCTCCGTGAATAACACATATAAGACATAAGGATATCATTAAAAAGGAGATACATCATACTTAATCTTCATACATGCATCTATATTCGTATCCAACATCCAAAACAACACTCACCTTAAATACATCAATCATTCTATATTTATTTATTATCAACAACAATCATTCATGTAACTTAATCAATCAAAATTATAATATATAAACTCATGCAAATGTGTGTGCTGAATTGTATATGCACGTGATATTAATTTTCTCCTCCTCATAGTCTCAAGATAGCCTAGGAGTTATGAAATGGGATCGATCCATCTATGGTGATCTCCCTCAATCCATCCTTAACTAGGAAACGTCTAACATGATCTTATTGAAATTAATGTTACATTCAACTATATGGTTACCTCTTATTTCCGTTGTAGGCTCCCAATAATAACACACTCTCAAAGTCTCTCAAAGTCTAGGTAGATGACATTTGAACCCTATTTAGATAAACTCACACTATCCAAGTATGCAGGTAAAAAAATTAAATTGTGCCCACAGGTTACGGGTATATCCATTTGAAAAACTTATTATAAATCCATTGCAGATGTTACCCAAAAATATCCGTGAATGTGGATTTTTTTTTGTCATTCCTAATAACAACTACTTACTCCAACTCTTTTATATGTAGATCGATCCCTCCATCGAATTCTAAAAAGAAAATCTCACTCAAATCAAATATGTCTAATATTACATCCATATTCAAATTAATAAAAAAAATAAATCATAAAGGATAAAAGAATATCAAATCCTAAGAGATCATTTAGAATATTCTAAATTATTCTTAGATATTAAATGGTACGATGAATTAATTCCCAGATTTTCTAACGAAAAAATATTTGACGAGAATTTAACTCCTCTAAAATAAAGAAGCGTACTTTAAAGAATAAAAGTATACTCAAAATTATTGATTAAAAAATCAACAATAATTTTTAGAAAAATCAAATACATATATAACAAAATCTAAAATTAATTATAATATTTATTGTTGATTTTATTATTATTGTATTTTATTTTTTAAAGTAAAATTTCTTAACTTTAAAGAAAGCAATTCCTTAGACGTTTCGTAAAATAAATGGACTATAAAATTACATTAACTTT